GACTCACGTGGGGAGCTCTAGACTCATCTGGCCCCGTGGAAACCAGCATCAGTGTTGTTTACAAGCTCCCCAGGTGATGCTAATGTGCAGCCTGGAGTGAGAGCCATGGACCGAGACCTCTTCCCACTTCCTCCATGGAATTTTTCTTGCAGTCTGTTCTTGCAACCCACAGGCCCCCTTCCCTCACAACCCCAAAGGAAAGATGAGTTTCCATTAAGACAAGACCTTAGCTTTAACTTGATGTCTTAAGCAGATGGTGGCAGACCTAATTCACAGTGTCAGCGGGGTCCTGAATTTCTATTCCAGCCCTTACGGCCAACTGGCAGCCTGGACCTGAGTGAGTGACAGATGTCTCCTGAGCAGGACAGACAGGTAAGCATATGTCCACAAGCTGCCCAGAGAACCAAGATGGATCTTGCATCTAAAGGGTGTGTGGCCCCTCTTTGCTGTTGAGCCCTGTAAGATGGAGCTATTTAGTTGCTGCTGCTCTAGGGTCAGCGAGAAGCTTCTCTCTGGAATTTAGGGCCATTGGGTCACTTCAGATCAACAGCAAAGAAATCTTCCAGCTTCCACAACAAATAAGCATCTGTGTGTCTGCTGCGGGTTATAGATTAAGCTGGCTCCGTCCTGGGTCCTTAGCAAAGAAGACACAGAACTTGGATGGGTAGTTCTTCGAGAACATTATTCCCTGGTTATGACCTTCCATGACTTCCTACCACTTGGGCCTAAACCCTGCTTGAGCCTGGCACTCAAGGCCTCCTACCAGTAGAACCTCAGCTTCCCTTGTCTAGACCTAAAATAATCGAGATCTCCTAGTCTAACTCCTCAGTCATTTAGAGCTGGTCAACAGCTCCAGGTACCCAGGGGCCCCACCTGGCACTAATGGACCTGCCTCTGAAGTTCTCAGCTTCCTCCGAAATGTCCCCAAGCTGACTGGAGCAGTGTGCCTTTCTTAGCTGATCTTCCCGGCAGTTCCGGGTTGGGGCTGGCAGAAGCGTCCTCAGGCCTCTGGCCCCTGTGGTCCAGGCTGGCTGAGGCCGGTTGTTCCAGCGCTGGCTCTCCCTACATCCTCCTTAGGCCTCTGAGCAAGCAGTGGTCCATGTGGGTAGCATGGTTTTCCTCCTGTGAGGGCCTTCTCACCCAGCCGTGATGGGGTCTTATGCATGCATTTTCTTACTAACATGCTGCTTGCCTTCTCTGTCCCTTGGCCTCGAATTCACCTTAATTTACAAGGTTAAATAGGGCTTTCAGGGGTTTTAATTTTAATTTTTTAGTGTTTTGGCCTTTTCCAGATTATCATCTCTTGATTACTAGGGCACTTAGCAACTTGACACTTCATTCAATTTGCAACTCTACTATCGGTTGAACAGGTATTGTAGTCCCATTACAGACAGGGACACTGAGGCAAGAAGTCCCTTTTCTGTGTCATCCTGATGGTTAAATGATATGATGTGTACTAACGTGTGATAGATGGGCGCTAACTGGATGGTAACTTTTTATCGTTGTTGTGGTTTTTATTCTTGCAAAGACTTCGCAGATTCCTTGAGGATAGGAATTATGTCTTGTACTCATTGCCCAACTGCAAGCCACCCACTCCTGGCATTTTGGAACCGATCCGTAAATCACTGGGGGCTCATCCTAAATGTGCTTTACACCAGGCAAAGCCTGCCGGAGGGGATGCTGGAGAAAATGGTCATGTGGAACCTTCCAGCTGGTCCGACTGGTCATTGTGTCTGCTCCAAGAAAGTGTGAAAGCGTCACTTCCTGGTAAGTGGCCTTCCTTTGTGAGGAGCATAACTCATCTTTTCTCAGTCCCAGGGGCACAAGCAGACCTGGTGAGAGACTGCGTTGCTGCACTGTGACTGTGGTCCCAGGAGGGGAGGAGCCAAAGTCCCAGCCAGGGTGCCCCCCCCCCCCCCCCCCCCCCCCCCCCCCCCGCAGTATCCTGCTGTGGCCTTTGCACAGACCCTGGGTTATGTGGCATATACTCTGGCCAGGCTAGAAGCTGGGACATCTTGGCCAACTTCTGAGCTTGAGCCCAAACCTGGGAGGCCCTTCCTCCATGGAGCACAAAGGTGAGACCTGTGGCCAGTGGCACTGACTCCTCACCGGCACCAGGACCAGACTTCCTATCTGTGCACTCTAGACTCCAAAACAGGGCTCTCTTGGGTCCCATCTCCCTTGTCCACTTCTCTCAAGCAGACGGCCCTGGGAAGACTCTATATGTACCTACTCCCCGTGAACCCTACGCCCCTGCATGGGATGTCCTTCCTGCTCCTCTCTGAGCCAAACCCAACCCCCTTCCCAGTTCTTTCCATCAACTCTCTCTCAGGCTTGGCAGCTGTGGACCAGTCTGTAGGGAAATGTCTGTAGGGCAAGGGTGAATTTGGGGCCAAACTTCCTGCTCAGGATCATGGACTTTGGCGACAGACACACCTGGGATCAAGAGCCAGTTCTTCCATTCACTGACCAAGTGACCTTAGGCAGGAATTCCTCTTTTCTAGCCCAAGTTTTATCTGTAAAATGGGGGTAATAGCAGTCTCACAGGATTGTGGAGAGAATTAAGAGATGCCAAATGTAAATAAAGTCTTGGGCCCGTAGCCAGCCCTTAGTAAGTGGAAAGCATTTTAATGCCAAGTCATTGGCTCATTGGTACTTCTGAGTGTCTGTGTGCCCAGGCCTCCGGCTGCTCAGGACTCCCCAGGATGCAGGGGTGTCACTGGCACCCTGGCTCTCCTGGCACCACTCCATGGAAGTACGTGGGGATTGTGGTGTGATGCTCAGCCAGGAGGCTGCACTCTGCACGCCCATTTCAGGGAGGCTGGGAAGGGAGGCAGTGTGGGTTTAGAAGTCAGGCAGACCTGGCTTCCCATGCCGTGCCAGTGTCTAACCTCAGTCCCCTGTAAACGCCGGTTGGATGTTGCGTGAGCCTCGGTCCCCTGATCTATGAAATGGGTGCTGGTGTGGACACCGAATGAGTGAGCTGGTAGAACACCTAGTGATTAGGAGCCCAGCCAGGTTCTAGAGCCAGGCTGCCTGGGTTCAGATCCCCCCTCTGCCACTTTCTAGCTCTGCAGTTTTGAACAAGCTGCATCATCTCTTGGTTTGAGTTACTCTAATGAAAAGTAGGGATAATAATATCTATCTCCTAATGCTGCCAAATATGTTTTCATACGTAAAATACAACATTGTTTGGCAATAGTTTAACACTCAACAAATCCTGGCTCCTCTCCTGCGATGGTGGAGCACCCAGTACTGTGCCTGGCGTGTATGAGGTTACTCAGTAATGAAGTGATGGTGCCTGAGATTCCACCATTAGGAATTTTTGATCTCCTGGAGTCTGACAATAATGTGGAACTACCCTAATTTGGAGATAATAATACCCTGGTGTTATTCAATTCAGTTGCACACTAGTTGGCTATTCTGTGCCAGGTGCCCTGCTTGAGCATTCTCACCAGTGACATGAACTTGACTGAGTGTAGCCCCTGCCTTGGGCTCACAGTTTAGTGGGGACTCATTTGTGGGTGCATTTGTTCACTTCCACATTGGAGCCTACCACGAGCTTGAGAGAATGAAGCCATGGAGGCACGGGGGAACCGGCAGAGAGGTTTTCCTTTGGGATGATGTTTGACCTGAGCCTTGAAGTCTGGACCAGAGATGATCGAGTCTGGGCAGGAGGTGAGTCACAGTGGGTGTGGAACACAGCGTCAACACTGGAACAAAAGCCTGCAGGCTTAGACGTGCGTGTCTTTCATGCAGTTGTCATTTACCAAGTCATCGCCACGTGCCACCACCGTGCTGGGTACTAGACCCTGAAGGGCCATAGGGCCCGTGTCTGCTCTCCAGAGGCTCACAGTCTGGTGGGGGTGCACCCAGCTGTCCAGGCTGGAAGGCTGTGCATCTCTCAACAGTCTTCCTGCTCCCTCCCAAGCCCGTCAATCGCCAAATGAGTCAGA